CAAATGATCATCACATTTCTGATATAATCGAATTTCTATTATGCTCCCAGTGGTTTGTATATATTTACAGGAGTACAAAAATAATTGCGTATTACTTTTGATTGGCTAGTTTAATTTTCACATTTGTGAATATTGAAATATTGAAAATAAAACAATTCCATCAAAGATGTCTCGTTTTTCATCCTTAGAGAACATAAACTTATTATTTAACAAACTTAATAACTCCAACAAGGATGCATTATCACTAAAATATATTAGTAAACTTGTAACTGATTTAACAACGTTATTAAATAAAACAGACTATTATGATGTAGAAATTATAGTTGGAGAAGGCCAGGATGTCAAGATTTTTAAAGCTCATTCTATCATTTTAAAAACAAGGTCTTCATATTTTAATGCTGCCTTTTCTAATAATTGGACAAAAAAATCTAAAAATGGTGTTATTTTATTCGAAAAAAAGAATATCTCTCCAAAAGTATTTGAAGTTATTTTAACGTAAGAATTATTTAATTTTATAAATTAAATAAATATACACAATTAATTATTTAAAATGTCTAAAATAAATATTATTTTATTATTGTTGTTCTTAAAAGATATATTTACAATGGGATTGTTAATTCAAATGATTTGAACCCGGATGAAATTGTTGAACTTCTTGAAGCATGTGATGAATTAAACATCAATGAGTTGATTGAGGATTTGCAAAATCATTTAATTATTAGAAAAAAAAAATGGCTTCAACAGAATTTAACATATGCTCATAATATTTCATTGAAACATCAATCATTCAATTTACTCCAAGATTATTTTGAGGAATTGATCACTGATAATCCAGATTTATTTTTACAATCTGATGATTTTAAAGACATTGAAAAATCTATGGTTATGTCTATATTAGAAAAAGATAATTTGGATTTAGATGAAATTGAAATTTGGGATTTTGTCATTCAATGGGGAATAAGCCAAGATGAAGAATTGGAAAAAAAAGATATTTCAATATGGAGTGTGGATGATTTCAACAAATTGAAAAATATAATAGAAAATCTCCTTCCATTATTAAGATTTAATCAAATTTCATCAAGTGATTTTTATGCAAAAGTTACACCTTATGAAAAAGTTTTTATTAAAGAAGTGTATAAAGAACTTCTTCAATGCAATATTACTAACAATTGGCAACCGAGATTAATAATTCGAAAAGGTCCAAGAACAGGAACTGGAAAATTATTAAATTTACAAGCAAAATGTTTGATTTCTGGTTGGGTTGATGGAAAATGTGGTTCATATGATCAAAACCATTTACCTTTTGAATACAAATTAATCCTTCGTGGATCTCATGATGGATTTTCTAGGGCTGTTTTTGAAGATAAATGTTATAACATCGAAAAGACTGTGGTTATAATGAAAATAAAAGAAACAGGAGAACTGGTTGGTGGCTATAATCCGGTTGGTTGGAACATTAAAGGAAAGACTCCGGATGAACGTTATTGGATTGAAACAGACAAAAGTTTTGTTTTTAAGATTGATCAAAATCAAATAAACAATTCGATATTAAGTAAAGTCAAAAATCCTGAACATGCAATAAGGCATAGTAGACAAAGATGTGATGTTAATAGAAATAATATAAAATTTCATGAAATATTAATTAATTTTTATAAATTAAGACTATATAACAGCATTGATGATGAACCTTATTGTTATTATAATTTTTCTCACAATTCTGATTCTTATAAAAATAATTTGAATCTTAAAAATAATAATAAAAAAGCTCATTTGATAGAAGAATTTGAAGTGTATAAATTAGTAAATAAATAGACTCGGGCTATACCACTAGAGAGAGAGCTGCTATGCTAATGGTTGAAAAGGGAGTGACTTTAAAAGGTTGGGTTATAGATTACGGGAAACTTGGAAATGATGATTTACAACAAGTTACGCGCGACAAATATCGGAAATGATCAACTCGCACGAATCGACATAATTGGGAAATTTTCTTGATTGTTAATTATCTTTATTTTTCTTGTATATAATCTTGTAGTAATAGATAGAATCTCTTAGAATTGTTTGTCATAAAAAAAACTTTCTAAGTTAGGTTACTTTAGAGAAAGCCTTGTAAAAAAAATTCCGGATTTTTCAATTTTAAATAAAAATAAACTTTTTACTATTTAAAAATAAAAAATTTCCATCAACTAGTTTTTCATCCTTGGGGAATTTAAACCTATAACAACTTTATTAATTCTGATAAAAATGCCTTGCCATTAAAATATATTAGTAACTTGTAAATAATATAACATCATTATTGAATAAAGCAGTGTAGGGATTAAAATTGGAGAGAGCTCATTCCACCATTTTAAAAGCAAGTTCTTTTTATTTTAAAATAGCTTTTCTAATACTCGGGAAAAAAAATCCAAATAAGCTTAATGTTTTAAATTTTTAAGATTTATATTCAATGGAGTTGAGTTAATTGAATATTACAAAATTACTTGATTATTAAAGGATTCAACAGAATTTATAATATTTCATCAAAACAACATCTAAAACATCAATCATTCAATTTACTCAAGATTATTTTGAGGGCTAATTACTGATGATTCAGACATATTCTTACAATCTAATGAATTTAATGATATCTATATTAAAGAGAGGCAATTTTGATATAAAGGAAATTGATATTTCAGTGTGAAAAAAGATGATTTCATCAAGTTGAAAATGTAATATATAGGAGATGTTCCACCTCTATTACAATTTCATTGAATGATCCTTGTGCAAAAACTAAATCTTATAATAAACAAGTCTTTATTAAAGAAATATACAATGAGCTTCTTCAATTTCATATTGCTGATGATTGGCAACCAAGATTAGTACTTCAATAAGGTCCAAGAACTGGAACTGGCAACTAGTTAGATTTAAATATGAAAAATTTAATTTCTAGCTGGAATAAATGATTTATATAATGCAGATAATTTGTTTGTGGTTTTAAATTAATTCTTCGTGGATCTAAAAGATGGATTCTCCGAATCTATTTTCAACGAATTGTCTATAATGGAACTTAAGAAACAGGAGAAGTGGTTGGTGTCTATAATCCAGTTTGTTGTAATATTCAAAGAAATGAATTGAGAACAGAAAAGTATTATTTTCAAAATTGATGAAAATCGAATTAAATAATTCAACAATAGGCAAAATCAAGGATCATGAATATACAATAATTCATGACAAACGATATATGTAAAATTTCATGGTTTAACAATAGTGTTGATCTCATTATTATTATCATAATATTTATACCTCTTAGAATTAGTAATAAAGAAACGAATGTTTATTCGATAAGAAGAATTAGAAGTGTATAGAACTGGATTCGAGATACTCTTATTCTATTAGACGAAAAAAACTTTTAAATTCAAATCAAAATATTTGAAACATGAATATCTAAGTTTTTTTTTATTTTTTTTGTTTTGATGAATAATTAAAAATTAAAAATATTATTTGTTTTAATTAAATTAATATAAGTGGGTAATTAATTATTTAATATATTAGTATACAAAAAAATTAATATTACAAAAAAAAAAAAAAAAATAAAAATTCATCATTCATCTCCCTTTTGTTTAGTGAATATTGTTTCTTTTTTTGAAAATAAATACTACATTATGACATTTATTCATCTTCTAATTTACAAATAAGATATTTATGTAGTATTATTATATTATTCCAAATCTAAAAAAAAAAATTAAATAGTAATAAATAAATAAAAGATAACAATCTAACATAGCTAATTCCATTATTCACATATAATACTAATTAAAGATCTTTGTTTTTATCTCCCCCTTTCTACAACCTTTTAACTGTAGGCATCAGAAACTTTTGCAAAGAATGGATACATAAATTCAAAGAATGCAAATTGTGATGGCTGTGTACCATATTTATAAACAAATCTACTTGCTAAATACGATCCAAAAATAGCTCTGACGTAGGATTCGGGTATTCTCTCCAATAAAGTATCAAGACCTAATCTATCTAAAAGTAATTGTGGGAATGCATCCCTCAGAACAGCTTTACGTAATGGCTCGTTACTCCACAAGATTGATTCTTGCATATTTTCATTAAGATCGATGATTGCCAAACTTAACTCATCGGAAATTATTGATCTTGGTTTTCCTGTTCTACGATGTTCGCGCCAAATACACTCGAATTCCAACTCTGCGTTTTTTTCAATGGTCTTGTGTACCTCCTTTATGTAATCTTGATAGAATTGTGGTATATTGCCATCTTTTACTTGCATATGAGTGGCAAACTCTTCGTCTGTTAATGCCAAAGCAGCCAATACTTCTAACGAAGATGACGTGACACCGCCTTTATTGGCTGATGAATCTTTGAAAATTATAGCACCAGCTTGTTCAAGTCTTATACGTGCTTCCTGAGTAAAGAAAAGATTTGCACCCTCAACTATATATTTGAATCTTGGTTTACCATTTAGATCAAGTAACATATTAACATTATTAAAATCGACAGCTTCAGGCCTACCACCACAAGGTACAAACAAATCGGCGGACACAAGATTTGTTAAATGGAAATTATTACGGAACAACAATCCGTCTTCGATGACTTGACCACTCGGTAATTTGATATTTTGTTGATCAACCAAAATTCGAAAACCTTTTGGTGACAATTTAGAAGCGTCGAATTTTGAAATTGTCAAACGACTATTGGCCAATCGTTTCAACTCTATACGATCAATACCTTCCGGATCACACAATACACCACTACCATCAACAATTGCGACAGTACGATCTTTGGAAATTTTAATTTCATTACTACCCAAATCACCATCAGGACCGCCAGTTTGGAATTTTGTGATTTTAGTTTCTTTCAAGTTCAATTTTCGATAAATGCCAAGCACATATTGGTGGACTGAACGAGTCGTCATACCATAAAGATCATGAGGTATGCCGCCCATTGATTGACTTTTGCCTGTGGTAAAAGCTTTCCAGAATTGAGCACCACGAGCTTTAGCATGAGCACTTGCCCAATCAACGAATTGTGCAGTACCTTCGTCCGGACCAAAAAATAAGATTTCTGGTTTGTTGTATAAATCAACAAGTTTCTCTTTTATACCTGGAGTGCTACCGGTGATTAACAAGTCCAAAATACTATCGACATATTTTTCAAAAGCAACACGATCTTTGTCTTGTTGAGTGATGTCAAGGAGGATGGTACCTTTTGAACCACCCTCTGGAATGTCTTTATTTTTACGTTGTTGGGTAGCAGCTAAACCGTAATTTTCGTCAAACAATGATCTTAGATTGATGCTGTAGGCTTCCTTATTTCTAGAACGGATGATACGTATGCCACCACGAGCCACATCACGAAATCTTAAATGAAAACCGCGAAATTCCGAGCCAATTACGAAAAACATGCCAAATAATTTTGTCGGGTATTCAATAGCTGGTAAAAATGAAGGATCAAGTCTAAATGATAACGCGACCTTTGTTGGTTGATAGAAATTTGTTTTCAAAACGTGTTTGTTAAATATGAGAAATGATTCAAAAACCATGAACTCATGAATATTTGATGTTGTTTTTTTTATCATGTCTAATAATTCGTCATCGCTAAGTATTGTGTCTGTTTGTAAACGCTTGTATGATATTGTAGGTCTGCAAACATAACAAATAAAAATTATTAGGTGTGAAAAAATTTTTTTTTTTTTTGCAAACTAGAAAAAAATAGTAATTAATACTTACTCTAGAGTAGCACCTTGTGGATTAACGTAATGAGTTAAAGCAAAATTTATGTATAAAGATCTTACTAATTCTGGATACATTTTAATAATATCTAAAACATATTCGCGAGTGAATGCGTCAGAACGTAAACGTTTTTTAATTTTTGTGAGGACTTCAACATGTGCTGGGTCATTTGAATTTAAAAGATTTGCCAAACTGACATATTCGTTTCCTAGACGATTAAGAAAATTTTGAGCAAAGATCCAACCAACATAGCCATAAATTGCTTCTTGTACCGATAATTTTCCAACTTGAAAAAATGATTGTAAAGGGGTTGTTGGTAAACAGAAGATTAAAGAAGCTTCTTTGATAACCTGGTGAATTGTGTGTTCTATTGGAGCAGCTTTTGAATTTGGAAGGGGGTTCAAATAAAGACTCATGATGGTAACACCATTTGAAAATTGTTCTATTGTATAAATATTATGATATAAATAAACATAAATAAATAAATAAGATGCAAGTAATTAAAATAATGGTGGAATGTTATCAAAGATTATCATTTAATTAGATCAAGATAAATAATAAAACGACACTAACCGACATATTTACGGGTAGAAAACAATTCATAGAAATGATAAAGATCGGACATGGCCGAAAAAAAAGACTGAGTACTATGTTGACGATACCCGATAACCAATCGCCTTTCTCTACTACCCTCCACCTCAAACATTTCAATAACAGGACCGGTTCTTTGTAAGACTAATTTCATGACACTTTGATAAATCTCCAATGTGTTGCCAGTAGCTTTTTCCAAAAAGGTTTTATCTCCAACCAAACGTATGTCAGATTCTTGTTCAGGAGTTGGTTCAGGAGTAACAAAATCACATTTTGCTAAAAAATAACAACGTAATTGAGTACTCATTGATGGGGAGACACTGCCATGGGAACGGTAGGATTCTAAACGATAAGCTTTTGAAGTGGTGGAAACATCTAAAAATCTTGAATCAATTCTAATTTTATATAATAGAGGAGAAATAAATAATAAATATTAGAATATATATATATATAATATTAAATATATACTAAATATAATATCAACAAAAATTAAAAATTAATGCTTTTACCTTCTTTCATGTTGAGGGCCTTGCAATTGAGATACACCAGGTTTAGAAGTGTGTATATAGACGGCACCGTCATCAGTTTCACGTTCCAAATTAATATCTAAATCTTTTTGCTCATTCTTTGTGTAGGCAAATATTTTAGCACCATATAAAGCCAAAATATGATTTGCAATGGATTCGACACTTTCTAAACTAAAATACATGTCATCGATACCAAGGTTTCTATATATGTATAAGCCAAAAGTATAATTTAGTTTGTTGGCAATTTAGCTGGTAAAAAAAAAGAATTAAGATTCCAGATGGATCAAAAAAAAAATCTACAAGTGTCAAATAATCTACGATATAATTAATTAATAAATATAATATAATAAGCATACCCATAAAACCATGACACTTCGTGCTTCACGAGGTCTTTTGGAATGAAACCTTTACTTTCCAAGTATTCACATACTTTGAGCATTTGTTCTTCTTTACCTTCAAAAATGTTATCATTATAACCACTCGATGGTTTTACGATAGTATTAGTTGGCATGAATAAGCCAGGGATACGGAATTTTTCAGACATCGTTTCTATCTTTTGTTTTTTTTGAAATTAATATTTAAATATTATTGTTATTATTATTATTATTATTATTATTATTATTATTATGTTTTTATTATTAAGCTTAGTTGTATAAGTGTGCGTATACAAATTTTCCCAAAAAAAATTATTTTTTTTTTTTTTTTGAGAAATTTTCTTTTTATATATATATAAAATTTTTTGATCAATAATTTTTTATTTGTTGATAATATCGGATTGTTTATTATATAAATAGTATGTTAGTGATATAGACAACAAGTTAATAACAATTAAATCTCATCTTTGGTTTAAATTATATTTTTAGAAAGATTATCCAACGTTAATGGGGAAAAAAAGGGAGCTTAAATTGTATGACTAATAAAATCCATAATAATAATAGACAATTATTAGTTATAAACACTTATAGAGTACTATTTATTACGCATGGTGATCCACTTTTTTTAATTTTCGCCTAATGATATATATTAATATTAATATAAATATTTATAATCTCGTGAATTTAATTAATATTATTGGACAAGTTGATTGAATAAATTATAAATTCACTCTTTCATTAAAACAAAAAAAATTATCCGAAATTAAAATGTTTTATTTTGGGTAGTAATATAATCATTTTTATACAATCAAACAATGTGTAAGATATTCGGATTATTACACTTTGAGATTTGGGCAATTTCTCAAAGAAACAATAGATTATCACTAATTAGTAAATAATAATTAAAATAAAAAGAAACATTATTTAAATGTTTGTTTATTGCTTTTTATTTTGATCACTGGATTGTGGAAAAAAATGTCAAATGTTTAGTTTAGTCGAGTTAGTGAAAAATAATAAAAACTTTGTGACTAGAACATGCATGCATGACCAACTAGTTTAAATTGGGCAAATAATAATTATGTTTTATATAATTAGTCTAAATTTTTATCACTGGATTTGGTAATAAATTTGCGGGAGCTAGGAAATTTATCACAAATAATACATATTACTTTAAAGTATATTGTCACGAAGAAATCTCAGGGATCAAAATTTGACATCACAATTGTGATGTAATTGTGATATTAACAGTTTTGGCAGAAAGCGACATCAGACTATCATTTATACATTTCAAAGTGCAAAAATATTTATTTTTACATAATTTATTGCCTTGAGCCCTCCATTACTTTCATGTTTTCGCCCCTCTTCAGATATGTCTTGCGGTTAACTTCTGGATATGATTGATGTTCTCTTTTTGTATAATGTGCTCCACTCCATTCGTTATCCTTTTCAGTCTTAACAGAAAGATTTTCGCAAGTTAATCTCAAGCCAATAAAAAAAAAAAAAAAATGATAGGACGTCCCTGGTATACTTTTATTCTGCCAATAAGTGGTGATCACAGTATAACATTACATTTTTATTTTTATTTTTATTATAATTAATACATTTCCACAATTTCAAATACCTTCGAAGAGATTTCTCGTCTTGCATTCACTACTCAGCAAAAAGAATGCTACTTCAGAAAAAGAAATGTTCGTCTTCCAACTTTTACAACAGACAAAGACTTGATATGCTAAATGTATATCTTCACTCACTCGCCCATCCATTTCCATTTAAATGATAATTGAAAAGGTATTATATTTGAAAGAATGTTTGGTTTAAAGGATACTCATGATATCGTTTATTAATATTGTATCCTTTCGTTTATGCGTTATTTCTTTTGTACATTATCTCTACTAATTTTTTTATTTAGAACGCATTGAAAATAAAAAGATATGTAATTTGATGATCATTTTGCAAAAATTTGGTTGAAACAGGAGATATTAAAAAAATACTAATCCACCGCCAATTTTACAATGTGTTAAAAGATTGTCTTGAATCATGGTTTCACAACAATAGGGCATTTATAGTGATATGACCAATGATCAATGAATGATTAATGTATCCTTTAGCAATAGAGGACAATAAATATTAATATAAATGTTAAAGACATTACTGCGCCAAAATTTTATAGTATTTGGTTTCCTCAAACTTTTCCGTGACATAGCAAGAAGTATAGGATGAGCAATTCATTACATGGTCCAGCTCCATGTCTTATTTCCTATGCATCGCAAGGGAGTCCTTTACCTTGATATTATCCTTAAGAATATTGTTTTAAATACATATGGACGGATTCCATTCCACCAAAAATTTTTAGCAACATCTTTTAAATTTATTATAATGGAACCTTCGTCTATTATAGCCAGCTAAACCTGGTCATTTTCTTCGAAAGGGTCGCAATAACCATTTTTTTATTAAAAAAAATTTTTTGTCGAAGAAAAACATACATATTTCGAAATTTGAGTCTTTTTCCAATTTTGGGGGAGGGAAATTGTGAATAGTAAATTTTTTTTGCATTTATTATTAGTTGGCAATTTTGATTGAAGAAAGTTTGTTTGCAGTTGTGTTACATTCTTAATATGAAGTAAAACTTATTCTGCTCAAACAAAATTATATAATTAGATCTAGTCCACTGATATGTACATTGTGACAAAAGTAATGGTAATTGGCTATTGGCTGATTATGTGCATCAGAACGAGATGGATAGTTGGCCAGGAAATGCATACAACTGTCACAACAGCAAAGTGTTTTTTTTTGTTTTTGTTTCTTTGAACCCATAGAATTCCAGGACTATTTGAACGGCGGAGATTTGATGATATGGTCTTTTAGCACGGGGTTGATTTCAGAAACACAATAAATATATTTAGCATTTATTGTAATTTTTTATTTATTACAATGATATCATCCCAGTTATAGATAGGAGTTGATTTTTAACAATAGAATAAATATAATATAATCCTTTTTAAGTAAGGCTAACAAGTTTACATTGCATTGTTAAGGTGATCGATCACATAATATAAAATTTATATACATGAAGGAGAATAAATATGGTGATTTTACTGAATATGAAAAGGCGGTCCATTTTTTAAAAGTAAGTCACGTTTGCAGTTCCCCAGTCAAGGCCCAAAAGAAAAGTTTTCTGAACTGCGTGAATCTCTTCCTGGATATCATGAATCTGGAAGTGAGATAATTTACATCTTTGTAACAACAGAAAAATCGGAGTGGTTTCTGAGTTTAAACTAATGTGGCACATAAGTGACACTATTTTAACAACCATTCTCGATTTTTTAGTCATTTTTGATGTGATTATTGCATGTTTCTGCATACAGTAACTGGTTTGTTGTGTGCCAACCAGACGTGCAATAATGGAAACTTTAGCATGTCATTTCATAGGCAGACATACAATAAATAATTATTATTGATTTCTAGTTTTTGACCAAACAGTTATTTTTATTCACAATTAAAAAAACACTGTATGGAAGTTTAAAGAAAGACCTCTCGGTGAGAGCACACCCAAAATTACAGAATATGTATGTTTTTATTTATAAACTAATCGGTTTCCATTGTCATCACAATCACATTTGCAATTGTGATGTTTAAATTTTGATCCCTGGAATTTACGTTTATTTAATAATAATTTCATATTAAATATTAAAATTTCGTCATTATCATGTTGCAGATTTGAAATAAGGGGGTTTTCTTCATTCATTCATGTTGCATTTCCATGTAATCTATGATCAACCAAAGCGCGAGTTTTATTTTTTCCTTTTTTAATTTTATTCCATAATGATCACCTCAATGTCGTTATCATCAATACATGATCTTCAACATTATTGTTGCCAAAATAATTTTAGATCGCGAGAAGGCTTCGGGTTATTTATTCTCCTTTTCGTTGATGCCATAAAACGTTTTATAAACATCTGCTTTTATTCTATAATCGATTTCCATCCAAGTCTAACTAAGCGAAGATCCTACCGCTTTAGTTAAGAGGCAATTATTAAGTGCATCGTATCACGCCCCCTTGTACTTACTTGTTGATCCATTCGAAAAATTATTTTTTCGTAACAATTACTCAAAGTATGCCTTTACTTAAATTTAAAGAAATTGAGATTTATGTACTAGGAGTTCAAATTCGTTGGTCTTTATGATAAAATACCATCCATTTTCTAGTACTTGTTTGCTTCATTTGCTAATAATATTTGAAATATTCAAAAGGTCAGTTGAAGCCTGTGTAGAAATACATTAAAGTAAAGCTAAATATTTTGCGGAATCATCTTTGTTAGCCGATCTTTAGAATTATTCCATTACATAATGTTAATGACGATGTTTTATTTATTAATTGCATAAAGTATGCATTACTTAAAAATAATTCATTGTATTCATTTTATTTATATTAACCTATTACTGTTTATAATTTGCTGCATAAAAGAAGCACATAAATATTACTCCTTATACATATTATGTTTAAAGAAATTGTGTATGACCATTTAATATCGCAAAGTTTCATATTATTCTTCTTCTTAAATGAAAAGGTTCGCATAAAATTTAACCAATTATTTTTTGTTGATTTTTTCCAAGAAATTTTATGATCATCGAATTTTGTACAATCATAAATTACCAAATTAGGGACTCATTGAATCTTGATAGTTGGTTATTACGTTGTTTAGTATTCCCAATTTGGTAATATGATATTGTTATTTTTTACCCAAATAAAGTAATTATAAATTGTGGAATATACAAGCCTAGTTAATTCAAGCATAATGGACATTAGTGTGATACACGATCACCAATATACACTTCAAGATTTTAAAGCACCGTTACCCGATCTGGAAGGTGAGCTTCATTTTGTCAAAAATGAAATATTTATCAAGTTTTCTTTTTTGCGTGATAAATCAAAACATGATCGACGAAAATCATTACCAATTATACGAACCGTTAATAATGAATATGCAAAAAAATTAATTCAATGAGAAGTTGGATAAGATTAAACGTGTTTACAATGTGAATGTCTCGTGCATTTTTTGCCTTCCGTACTTAAGGTGATTTATTATTTGTTTATTTCAATTGTTTTTGTTTGATCAAGTCGTTCTTTGGAATTAAAAATTAATTGGCTTTACTAAGCAGTGTAACCATT